CAAAAAAAAAAAAAAAGGTTAGCCTGCCTTTGTCAGGAGATACTTTTTAGCTTAATAAGTAGAAATGGTGCTAGTTTGAATAGCTGTATTTCTTCATCTTGATGCTGTAAAATATTTAAGAATCCATCAAGATTTCCACAACAGCCTCCAACATTTTTGTCAATGAATTGTGCTGTCAAATTTTTGTTCCAGACTAAACTGTGATATACAGGATCTCTGACATGAAGACATATTTTCTTGGGGTTTTTTGTGCTAAAGCCAAAAGATATGTCACCTTGAAATTGCAACGCTGTCAAAATGGAGAGACACTGCCAATTATTTCAAAAGCCTTAACTTCTTCAGAATCTTTGTCTGTGAATGTTGAGCTCTTACCTCTACATTTCAGTGGCTTCAGTGTAAAAGACAAAGAAAATTGGCTAAACATTGTGGCTCACCAAAAAGCAAGAGATGAAGAACAATGTATTTTTCTATGCAGAAAGGTAGTAAGAGAGTGACTAAGGTTTCAGCATTATTAGAAGTTCTTCAGAGTCTAAATAAATACTAACCTACATAACTGGCAGAGTTTACATTTTTAATGAATGACTGTTCCGGTACCTGTTTAAAGATGAGCAGTAACATAAAAGGTGGTAATGCCATACTCTACATTGACAGGCAATTTCATAATCTTCTGCAAGTGATGTAAATTGAAAGAGTTCAGAATGCACTATAAATTTGCCCAAAAATGTATCACTGCGCTTCAGCATTGGTATCTTCTTTCCATGATAAAACTTCCACTTACAATCTTACCACACCAAATCGGGAATTATGCCTGTTCATTTTTTGATCTTTTTTTAAAAGGAAACTCACCTTCATGAAAGAAAAAATACTATTTAGGTGAATCTCTTACTTGCTTGTCCCTCAGTATGTCCAAGCTCCTATTCTGAGCAACAGAACTTGAAAGTCATTACATACAATTACATACAAAATAAGTGGTTTTGAAGAAACCCAGGCATAGTATTGGAGTCAATACTGCGTCAGCTTTAGCCAAGTGTTCTGTGATAGCAAG